AACTTGTTTCCTATAAAACAAGAATAAGTAATTATTTTATAAATAAATTATATTTTAGTTATTAGCAACATAATTACTTTGATATCAAAATGGCTAGACACATTTTCTATAAGTTGGTGAAAAGGATGGTGGGGAAGTTGTGAGATCCACTTTTAAAACTTGTTGTAAATAGATTTAGTCCTTTTCATTATTATAACTGATATTTGAGTTATCCGAGAAGAACAATCTCTTTGCTACTCAAGTTGATTTATATAATAATTTTTAGTATAATTAATTTAAATTTAACTAAGAAAATACTTTTTTTTTTCAATGTTAGAAGAATCGAAGTTTGTTTGACAACAAAGTTTGAAATTGATGGTGGAGAAGTAGGGAGTTTGATGATCACTTGACTAGTTATTATAAAAATATTTTTGGTATTCGAGATTGAAGCTTTTAATAACACTTTTTTTAAAGATTGACTTGGTTAGAATGAAAGAATGTAAAAGAATGTGAGAATAAACTATGAATAATCCTATTTGATTACGGTATGCTACCTTATTTGTGTTAATGTTACAATAATATATAACTTATGAAATTATCAAATGTGTGAGATTATGGGATGTAAGAATAACTTTGAAAAGAAATTTATTTTTGGTGAAACAGTAGTCAATACCAAGAGCATTAGTCCCGCTGTCTGTTCTTCAAAATCTCTCTCTATATTAAAATTGTAGATTGTAGAATTCTTATATAACTAAAAATACTAAACCAAATAAATCAGAATCGGTTATAAGTAAAGCATATCAATTATACTCAGTTATTTTATAAAAAAAATTTTAATTTAAAAAAACAAAAGAATTTCTAGTTCGAATTCATAAAGTTATGAGTCCGTTGTATTTAATATTAATATATATATATATCATATATATATATATACTATACTATTATAAGATAGATAGAACTTTATGTTTAGAGATTATCTGTAACTACTTCCGTCGTTGGGACTGTTGAGCAGTTGGTACTGAACTGGGTTCTACAATGTACGAGGATCGGGAGTATCAACTTGTTTCACTATGAAAAAAATAAGAATAATTATTTTATAAAATAAAGTTATATTTTGGAGTTTATTAGCAAACATAGTTACTCTTTGAGTATCAAAAGGTAGACAACATTATTCTCTATAAAAAAAAAGTTGGTGAAAAGGAATGTGTGAAGTGTGAGAATCACTTTTTAAATCTTGTAAAGAATTAGTCTTTTTTCATTTTCTAACTGATATTTGAGTTATGAGACCAACTTCCTTTTGCAATTCCAAGGTGATATATATAATTTTTTAATAAATAATTAATATTTAAATTACTAATAAAATTACTTTGGCATTTAAGAATCGAAGTTGTTTGCACAAAAGTTTGAATTGATGGTGGAGATGGATGGAGTTGATTATCACTTGAACTGAGTTAATTATAACTATTTTTGTATTTTCGGACGATTTAAAAGCTTTAATACACATTTTTTTTTAAAGAATTGAATTGGTGATGGGATAAGAAAGAATGTGAGAATAACTATGAATAATCCTTTGAGTACGGTATGTACTTAAATTAAGTACAATATTATAATTATGAATTATCCAAGTGTGAGGATTATGGGGGATGTTAGAAGTAAACTTTAAAAGAATATTTATTTTTTGGTGAACAGTCAGTCATACAGAGCATTAGTCCTAGTTTGTCTTCAAAATCTCTCTCTGTATATTAAATTTTTATGGATAGAATTTCTTATATAACTAATAAATTATTAACCAATAAAATCAGAATCAGTAAAGCATATCAATTATAATGATTAATTTTATAAAAAATAATTTTAATAAAATAAACAAAACAATTTCTAGTTCGAGTTTCATATAAGTTATGAGTCACTTGTTTATTTATTTATATTTATAGATATATATATATTATTATATATATATATATTACTATTAGATAGATATATAACTTATGTTTGGATTATTCGTAACATACTTTCGTCGTGGGACTTTGGCATGGTCTGACCTGGTGCTACAGCTGGAGGATCGGGAGGATCAACTGTGTTCCTATAAAACAAGATAAAGTAATTATTTTATAAATAAATTTATATTTTAGGATTAAGAACAAATTAACTTTGATATCAAAATGGCTAGACACCATTTTCTATAGTTGGTGAAAAGGATGGTGTTGAATGTGAGATCACTTTAAATTGTAATAGAGTTAGTCTTTTTCATTTATAACTGAATTTGAGTTATGAGAACAACTTCGTTTGCACTTCAGAGTGATAATAAAGTTTATATAATTAATATTTAATACTAATAAATACTTTTCCATAAGATCGAAGTTTGTTGACAAGTTTGAATTGATGGTGGGGAGGAGATGGAGGAGTTTGATGATAACTTTGACATGAGTTTTATAAAATATTTTTGTATTTCGAGATTGAAGCTTATCACAACACCGTTTTTTAAGATGTGAATTGGTTGATGAACGAAGAAGAATGTGAGAATAACTATGAATTCCTTTTTATATTTTGGACGTCCGTCTTGGTTACGTTTGTACCTTAAATGTATATGTTGCTACTCAATATATAAATATGATTATCAAGTGTGAGATTATGTGAATGTTACTAGTAAAATTTAAAGAACATTTATTTTTTGTGAACAGTAATCAATACAGAGCATTAGTCCCTATCTGTCTTCAAAATCCTCTCCTATATTAAAATTGTGATAGAATTCTATATAACTAATAAATATAACGAATAAATCAGAAATTGGTAAAGCATATCATTATAATGATTAATTATTAAAAAAATAATTTTAATCAAATAAACAAACAATTTCTAGTTCGAAGTTTATATAAGTTATGGAGGTCACTTGTTTTTTATTTTATATATTATATATATAATTTTTATATATTATATAATATAATATATATATATATAATATTATTAGATATTATATGGATAACTTATGTTTGAGATTATTTCGTAAAATACTTTCGTCGTGGGACTTTGGCATTGGTCTGACTGGTGCTACAGCTGGAGGATCGGGAGGATCAACTTGTTTCCTATAAAACAAGAATAAGTAATTATTTTATAAATAAATTATACTTTAGTTATTAGCAACATAGATTACTTTGATATCAAAATGGCTAGACACATTTTCTATAAGTTGGTGAAAAGGATGGTGAAGTGTGAGATCACTTTAAATCTTGTAATAGAGTTAGTCTTTTTCATTTATAACTGAATTGAGTTATGAGAACAACTTCTTTTGCACTTCAAGTTGATATATATAATTTTTTTATAAATTAATATTTAAATTACTAATAAAATACTTTTTCAATTTTTAGATCGAAGTTGTTTGACAAAAGTTTGATGATGTGGAGATGGAGGAGTTTGATGATCACTTTGACTGAGTTATTATAAAATATTTTGTATTTCGAGGATTATTAAGCTTTTATACAACATTTTTTTTAAGATTGAATTGGTGATAAGAAGAAAAGAATGTGAGAATAACTATGAAAATCCTATTGTACGGTATGTACTTAAAGTGAATGTTACAATCTATAAAATTGAATTATCAAGTGTGAGGATTATGGGATGTTAGAAGTAAACTTTAAAAGAATATTTATTTTTGGTGAACAGTAGTCAATACAGAGCATTAGTCCCTTTGTCTTCAAAATCTCTCTCTTATATTAAAATTTTATGGATAGAATTCTTATATAACTAATAAATTATTAACCAATAAATCAGAATTGGTAAAGCATATCAATTATAATGATTAATTTTATAAAAAATAATTTTAATAAAATAAACAAAACAATTTCTACTTCGAGTTTATATAAGTTATGAGTCACTTGTTTATTTATTTATATATATATATATATTATATATATTATATATATATATATATATATATATAGATAACTTATGTTTGAGATTATTCGTAACATACTTTCGTCGTGGGACTTTGGCATTGGTCTGACCTGGTGCTACGCTGGAGGATCGGGAGGATCAACTTGTTTCCTATAAACAAGAATAAGTAATTATTTATAATTAAATTATATTTTAGGTATTAGCAACATAATTACTTATATCAAAATGGCTAGACACATTTTCTATAAGTGGTGAAAAGGATGGTGAAGTGTGAGATCCACTTTAAATCTTGTAAATAGAGTTAGTCTTTTTCATTTATAACTGATATTTGAGTTATGAGAACAACTTCGTTTTGAACTTCAAGGTTGGAATATATAATTTTTATATAATTAATATTTAAATTACTAATAAAATACTTTTTCAATTTAAGATCGAAGTTGTTTTGAACAAAGTTGAATGATGGTGAGGTGGAGATTGGAGGAGTTTGATGATCACTTTGACTGAGTATTTTATAACATATTTGTGTATTTCGAGAGTTCAACTTTTTTATACACATTTTTTTAAGATTGAATTGGTGATGAAGAAGAAAGAATGTGAGAATAACTATGAATAATCCTAATTTAAAAATATTTTAAGGTACAAATCGCGTAATCAAGTGAGATTACGGGATGTACCTTAAATGTAATGCTACAATATATAAATTACGAATTATCAATTGTGAGATTATGAGATGTTTAGTCAACGTTTAAAGAATTATTTATTTTTGTGAACAACATTAATACAGAGCCTTGTCCCTAAATTTTTCTGTCATCAAAATCTCTCTCTATATTAAAGGTTTATGGATAGAATTTCTGATATAAAACAACTATAAATTATAACAATAAATCAGGAAATCGGTAAGCATATCAAGTATACTCATTTATTTATAAAAAATAATTTTAATAAAATAAAACAAAAGAATTCTAGTTCGAATCATATATTAGAGTCACTTGTTTAATTATATAATTGATATATATATATATATATATATATTATTATATATATATATATATATATATATATATATAGATAGATAGATAGATAACTTATAAGTTTGAGATTATTCGTAACATACTTTCGTCGTGGATTTGGATTTGGTCTACCTGGTGCTACAATCGAGGATCGGGAGGATCAACTTGTTTCCTATAAAAAAGAATAAGAATATTTTATAAATAAATTATATATTTTAGGTCTTATTTAGCAACATAGTTTTACTTTGATATCAAAATGGCTGGACACATTTTCTCTATAAGTGTGTGAAAAGAGGATTGTGTGAAGTGTGAGATCACTTTTAAATCTGGTAAATAGAGTTAGTCTTTTTCATTTATAACTGATTTTTGAGTTAATGAGACCAAGCCCTTCTTTTTGCAATTCAAGGTTGAATATATATAATTTTTATATAATTAATATTTAAATTTACTAAAGAAAATACTTTTTTCAATTTAAGATCGATTTGTTTGGACAAGTTGAAAATGATGGTGGAGAGTGGAGATAGACTTTGAGTGAATTATCAGTTTGGACTGAGTATTATAAAATATTTTTGTAATTTATTGAAGCTTATGCTTTTTTTATACACATTTTGTTTTAAGATGGAATTGTGATGAGAAGAAAGACATGTGGATAACTATAATAATTCCTATTGATTTACGTAATTACCTTAAATGTAATGCTACAATATAGAAAATTATGAAATTATCAAACGTGTGAGATTTATTGGGATGTTAGAAGAAAACTTTAAAAGAATATTTATTTTTGGTGACCAGTAGATCAATACAGAGCATTAATCCCCTTTTGTCTTCAAATCTCTCTCCTCTATATTAAATTTTTTGGATTAGAATTCTTTTATATAAATACTAAATTATTAACCAATAAATCGACATCGGTAAAGCCATATCCAATTATACTCATTTATTTTTATAAAAAATATAATTTAAAAAATAAAAAAACAAAAAATTTTCTAGTTCGAAAAAAAAATCATGATAAGTTGACGAGTCACTTGTTATATATATATATATATATATATATATATATATGGATAACTTATGTTTGAGATTATTCGTAACATACTTTCGTCGTGGGACTTTGGCATTGGTCTGACCTGGTGCTACAGCTGGAGGATCGGGAGGATCAACTTGTTTCCTATAAAACAAGAATAAGTAATTATTTTATAAATAAATTATATTTTAGTTATTAGCAACATAATTACTTTGATATCAAAATGGCTAGACACATTTTCTATAAGTTGGTGAAAAGGATGGTGAAGTGTGAGATCACTTTAAATCTTGTAAATAGAGTTAGTCTTTTTCATTTATAACTGATATTTGAGTTATGAGAACAACTTCTTTTGCACTTCAAGTTGATATATATAATTTTTATATAATTAATATTTAAATTACTAATAAAATACTTTTTCAATTTAAGATCGAAATTGTTTGACAAAGTTTGAATTGATGGTGGAGATGGAGGAGTTTGATGATCACTTTGACTGAGTTATTATAAAATATTTTTGTATTTCGAGATTGAAGCTTTTATACACATTTTTTTAAGATTGAATTGGTGATGGAGAAGAAAGAATGTGAGAATAACTATGAATAATCCTATTTTTAAAAAATAGTAAGTTGTTTTAGTATATTATTGATATTGATGATATGAGAAACATACTTGTGTATTTGGAGTTTCAAATTGTTTGACATGTTCTTCTATGTTGTAATTTGTTATTAGAAAGATACTTTTGTACTTGCAAGATTGAAATTTCTCGACACATTTGATTGAAGAGTGTGCGGATCACTTTGAGTTTGAAAAAAAGTTACTTTTTATATGTAATTGTTATTAACATATATTTGAGTTATGAACAAAATATTTTTACACTTGAAACCTTCTTGACACATTCTTGAGCTTGAATTCTTTGTATAGATAGAGGGAGACATTGACTTTGAGGTCCATTAAAAAATTGTAATACATAATTGGTATGTGAGTTATTGTGAAAATATATTCGCACTTCAGATTTTGAAGTTGTTTGTCATATTCTTTTGAGTTTGAATTATTTGTGAAGATAAAGATGTATAAGGATCACTTTGACTCTTATTAAAATAAGTCTTTAATTTTTATATACATAATTCATATATGGTTAATATTTGAGCTATTAGTGGTATCTTTTTGTATTCCAATATAATATTTTTTATTACACTCTTTTGAGTTTAAATTATTAGGAAAATACTTAAAATATAGTTGATATTTGGCTTATTAGGAAAGTATTTTTGTTGCTTGACACATTTATCTAGTTTGAATTATAGTCCTAGAAGTGGAGGAGTGTGAGATCACATAGAGTCATATTAAATGAACTTAGTATTGTGATTTATAAGTAATTAACATATAATTGATATTTGAGCTATAAGTAACATACTCTTGCTTTTTGGGACTAGACTTGCTTGAATCATTCTTCGTCTGATTTTGAGTTTGTGGTGAACGTTCAAGAGTGTCAGTCCTATTGAAAAAGGGTAAAAAAATTCTTTAAATATAAATAATATGACATTTTGAGTCCTATTAAAAAAAGTCAACAACTTTTAGTACAAATAATTGATGTTTGTGTTGTTTGTAATATACCTATATTGACTTCGACATTCGAATTACTTGACACATTCTTTTGAGTTTGAGTTGGTGGTGATACAAGAGAAGTTGGAGGACGAACACTTTGAATCCTATCAAAAAATAGTCAATAATTCTTTTATATATAAATGATACTAGAGAAGTTTGAGGATCACTTTCACTCCTATAAAAAAAACGAGCAATAATATCTTTATATATAAATAATATATTATTACTATTTTGAGTGCTATTAAAAAAATTCAACAATTATTACTTGTTGACTTGGATAATAAAATTACTTCGACAGGTTTTTTTATAGTTTGAGTTGGTGATGACATTAGAGAAGTTTAAGAATCACTTTCATTCCTATTAAAAAAGTATCAAGTGTTCTTTTATATATATAAATGATATACTATTAACATTTTGATTCCTATTGAAAAAGGTCAATAATTTGTATTACCTATAATTGGTATCTGTGAACATATACCTATTGACTTGGTAACACTAAAAAAAAAGTTTGAGAGTCTTAAAAATAAGGATTCAATGATTGTTTGTACGCAATTGATATTTGAGTTAAATACCATGGATTCATTCAAATCATTAATTAAAAATAAAAAGATTTATTTAATACAGTAAACAGGAAACAAATTAAATAAATATAACCGGAAATACTAATAAGATATATATATTAAATATTTTGAGATATTAGTAACAACATACATACATTTGTATTTCTGAGTCGGAATTTTGTAATACGTTCTCATTTTGAGTATCTGATGGAGGCTGTGCTTGTTGAGTATCACTTTCATTCCTTATATAAAAAACACACTCACACAGACATATCATTATATAAGTTAATAGGTGTAGTAAAATAAAAATATATATCACTAACAAAAATAGTAGAGCATGATTGAAATATTTTGAGAATAAAAATATATTTAAATTACAAAGTATTAATTATAAAATTTGTATTTTTTATATTAATTGAATTAAAATATAATTTATTAAATAAATTGAGAAAAGAATCGCCTCAGTTACATGACAAGGTAAATAAAAAATATATTTGAATTAATTGTAACTTACAACTTTCTGCTTTCATTCACAGTGTGCTGGCGACTTGTGAGATTATGACTTTGAGCACTGTATAAAAAAATTGTAAATAAAATAAGCATATAAAAGTTATTTTTTATTTTTATTAAGAAGTGATTTTCCATTTAATTCATTCTCATTGTAAGATTCATTATATATTATATATTATAATTTGATTTATATGAAATGTTCAAAATACTAAGGTTAATAAGAGGATCTTATATAGGTAGTACAACAAATATAAATATTGATTAGAATGCTCTTAAAGATTATACTGTCATACTAAAAAGTAAGTTTCAGTTGAATTTAGTTTTACAAAACTGATTTATTAACATGAGATATATCTTACTTATATATACTTAAATAATTTGTTTTCTATCTTAAAATGTTTAATCTGTTTTTTATCACTAAATATTTTTTTATTAATTAAGTCTTTATATTTTTCAAAAAAGATTCAATTAAGTCTTTTAAAGAATTAAATGTGATTCATTTTATTATGCATCAAAATTTAAATTTATCATATGCTAAAATTTAAGTCATTTTCTATTTGAAACGCGCTGTCTATAAAGATCAGAACATAATGGAAAATGATCCATATATGACAAAACTGACTTTTGACATGTCTCACAATTCAAATAGTATTAATATAAATTTAACTCAAAGGACTATTTTGAGACTTTGTATAAAATAAAGACTTAATTAAATAAAAATCATATTTAAAAATTAAAACGAATAAAAAATTTAAACAGAAGAATCAAATTACTAATGATTTAACTTTTACTTTATTATTTTTAACTAATATGAAATATTGAATTTTTAATAGTATCAATTGCTCAAATATGATAATCATATTCCTTTAAAACATAAATAAAACTGTAATAACATCAAAATAGATTATATATGCTGTTAGAAATCCTACATTAACTAAAAATAAAATCTTAAAATCCAGCTCTTAGGATCTGAAATCTTTTACTCCAATCATACAAAATCCTTCAACCATTTATATTTGAAACCAATTTTAGGTTTTGTGAAGGCAGTGATTACAAGTAAAAAGATATGAGTAACAGTATTACCTTATGACAGAACTGGGAAAATGACGATGCAGCAACACGAATGAAAGAAGAAATGGAAGAAACGCGACGACACCATATTGAAAAGCCATTTCAGAAAAAAGTGCTTATGGAGAACTGTGATTGTTAACGGCAATGAAGTGATAGTTATAATAGNTATATATATATATATATATATATATATATATGGATAACTTATGTTTGAGATTATTCGTAACATACTTTCGTCGTGGGACTTTGGCATTGGTCTGACCTGGTGCTACAGCTGGAGGATCGGGAGGATCAACTTGTTTCCTATAAAACAAGAATAAGTAATTATTTTATAAATAAATTATATTTTAGTTATTAGCAACATAATTACTTTGATATCAAAATGGCTAGACACATTTTCTATAAGTTGGTGAAAAGGATGGTGAAGTGTGAGATCACTTTAAATCTTGTAAATAGAGTTAGTCTTTTTCATTTATAACTGATATTTGAGTTATGAGAACAACTTCTTTTGCACTTCAAGTTGATATATATAATTTTTATATAATTAATATTTAAATTACTAATAAAATACTTTTTCAATTTAAGATCGAAATTGTTTGACAAAGTTTGAATTGATGGTGGAGATGGAGGAGTTTGATGATCACTTTGACTGAGTTATTATAAAATATTTTTGTATTTCGAGATTGAAGCTTTTATACACATTTTTTTAAGATTGAATTGGTGATGGAGAAGAAAGAATGTGAGAATAACTATGAATAATCCTATTTTTAAAAAATAGTAAGTTGTTTTAGTATATTATTGATATTGATGATATGAGAAACATACTTGTGTATTTGGAGTTTCAAATTGTTTGACATGTTCTTCTATGTTGTAATTTGTTATTAGAAAGATACTTTTGTACTTGCAAGATTGAAATTTCTCGACACATTTGATTGAAGAGTGTGCGGATCACTTTGAGTTTGAAAAAAAGTTACTTTTTATATGTAATTGTTATTAACATATATTTGAGTTATGAACAAAATATTTTTACACTTGAAACCTTCTTGACACATTCTTGAGCTTGAATTCTTTGTATAGATAGAGGGAGACATTGACTTTGAGGTCCATTAAAAAATTGTAATACATAATTGGTATGTGAGTTATTGTGAAAATATATTCGCACTTCAGATTTTGAAGTTGTTTGTCATATTCTTTTGAGTTTGAATTATTTGTGAAGATAAAGATGTATAAGGATCACTTTGACTCTTATTAAAATAAGTCTTTAATTTTTATATACATAATTCATATATGGTTAATATTTGAGCTATTAGTGGTATCTTTTTGTATTCCAATATAATATTTTTTATTACACTCTTTTGAGTTTAAATTATTAGGAAAATACTTAAAATATAGTTGATATTTGGCTTATTAGGAAAGTATTTTTGTTGCTTGACACATTTATCTAGTTTGAATTATAGTCCTAGAAGTGGAGGAGTGTGAGATCACATAGAGTCATATTAAATGAACTTAGTATTGTGATTTATAAGTAATTAACATATAATTGATATTTGAGCTATAAGTAACATACTCTTGCTTTTTGGGACTAGACTTGCTTGAATCATTCTTCGTCTGATTTTGAGTTTGTGGTGAACGTTCAAGAGTGTCAGTCCTATTGAAAAAGGGTAAAAAAATTCTTTAAATATAAATAATATGACATTTTGAGTCCTATTAAAAAAAGTCAACAACTTTTAGTACAAATAATTGATGTTTGTGTTGTTTGTAATATACCTATATTGACTTCGACATTCGAATTACTTGACACATTCTTTTGAGTTTGAGTTGGTGGTGATACAAGAGAAGTTGGAGGACGAACACTTTGAATCCTATCAAAAAATAGTCAATAATTCTTTTATATATAAATGATACTAGAGAAGTTTGAGGATCACTTTCACTCCTATAAAAAAAACGAGCAATAATATCTTTATATATAAATAATATATTATTACTATTTTGAGTGCTATTAAAAAAATTCAACAATTATTACTTGTTGACTTGGATAATAAAATTACTTCGACAGGTTTTTTTATAGTTTGAGTTGGTGATGACATTAGAGAAGTTTAAGAATCACTTTCATTCCTATTAAAAAAGTATCAAGTGTTCTTTTATATATATAAATGATATACTATTAACATTTTGATTCCTATTGAAAAAGGTCAATAATTTGTATTACCTATAATTGGTATCTGTGAACATATACCTATTGACTTGGTAACACTAAAAAAAAAGTTTGAGAGTCTTAAAAATAAGGATTCAATGATTGTTTGTACGCAATTGATATTTGAGTTAAATACCATGGATTCATTCAAATCATTAATTAAAAATAAAAAGATTTATTTAATACAGTAAACAGGAAACAAATTAAATAAATATAACCGGAAATACTAATAAGATATATATATTAAATATTTTGAGATATTAGTAACAACATACATACATTTGTATTTCTGAGTCGGAATTTTGTAATACGTTCTCATTTTGAGTATCTGATGGAGGCTGTGCTTGTTGAGTATCACTTTCATTCCTTATATAAAAAACACACTCACACAGACATATCATTATATAAGTTAATAGGTGTAGTAAAATAAAAATATATATCACTAACAAAAATAGTAGAGCATGATTGAAATATTTTGAGAATAAAAATATATTTAAATTACAAAGTATTAATTATAAAATTTGTATTTTTTATATTAATTGAATTAAAATATAATTTATTAAATAAATTGAGAAAAGAATCGCCTCAGTTACATGACAAGGTAAATAAAAAATATATTTGAATTAATTGTAACTTACAACTTTCTGCTTTCATTCACAGTGTGCTGGCGACTTGTGAGATTATGACTTTGAGCACTGTATAAAAAAATTGTAAATAAAATAAGCATATAAAAGTTATTTTTTATTTTTATTAAGAAGTGATTTTCCATTTAATTCATTCTCATTGTAAGATTCATTATATATTATATATTATAATTTGATTTATATGAAATGTTCAAAATACTAAGGTTAATAAGAGGATCTTATATAGGTAGTACAACAAATATAAATATTGATTAGAATGCTCTTAAAGATTATACTGTCATACTAAAAAGTAAGTTTCAGTTGAATTTAGTTTTACAAAACTGATTTATTAACATGAGATATATCTTACTTATATATACTTAAATAATTTGTTTTCTATCTTAAAATGTTTAATCTGTTTTTTATCACTAAATATTTTTTTATTAATTAAGTCTTTATATTTTTCAAAAAAGATTCAATTAAGTCTTTTAAAGAATTAAATGTGATTCATTTTATTATGCATCAAAATTTAAATTTATCATATGCTAAAATTTAAGTCATTTTCTATTTGAAACGCGCTGTCTATAAAGATCAGAACATAATGGAAAATGATCCATATATGACAAAACTGACTTTTGACATGTCTCACAATTCAAATAGTATTAATATAAATTTAACTCAAAGGACTATTTTGAGACTTTGTATAAAATAAAGACTTAATTAAATAAAAATCATATTTAAAAATTAAAACGAATAAAAAATTTAAACAGAAGAATCAAATTACTAATGATTTAACTTTTACTTTATTATTTTTAACTAATATGAAATATTGAATTTTTAATAGTATCAATTGCTCAAATATGATAATCATATTCCTTTAAAACATAAATAAAACTGTAATAACATCAAAATAGATTATATATGCTGTTAGAAATCCTACATTAACTAAAAATAAAATCTTAAAATCCAGCTCTTAGGATCTGAAATCTTTTACTCCAATCATACAAAATCCTTCAACCATTTATATTTGAAACCAATTTTAGGTTTTGTGAAGGCAGTGATTACAAGTAAAAAGATATGAGTAACAGTATTACCTTATGACAGAACTGGGAAAATGACGATGCAGCAACACGAATGAAAGAAGAAATGGAAGAAACGCGACGACACCATATTGAAAAGCCATTTCAGAAAAAAGTGCTTATGGAGAACTGTGATTGTTAACGGCAATGAAGTGATAGTTATAATAGAATGCAAGGCATTGCTTAAGAATATATATATATATATATATATATATATATATAGTCTTTGCAATTACTCTCTTTCTTCTTTCAGCTTCGTCCTTTTCCATTATTTTAACTGAATATTAAGTGAGTTGACTTAATCTCGCTAACAACGAGAAGGAAGTTGTTTGAACTAGTATTTTTTGAAAAAAAAAAAGTTTATTAGATATTATTACAAGATTTACATTTTTAAAATTCATTAATGATTTATGATCGTATAAATTACTGTTATAAATTTAACTGAGTATGAGTCTGATTTAGTTAAAGATGAGAAAATTAAATATTTTATAGGGTTAAATATGTTTTTAGTCCCTAAACTATTGACCGTTTCTGGTTTTCGTCCCTCTTCTAAAGTAAGGTACAATTTAGTCCTCAATCTTTAAAAAACGTTCGTTATAGTCGAAAAAACGAACGTTTTGAGGACTAAAACGAGGACTAAAAACAAAATTTTGAGGACTAAAACGAACGTTTTTCTAAAGAATGAGGACCAAATTGTACCTTACTTTGGAAGAGGGACGAAAACCAGAAACGGCCAATAATTTAGGGACTAAAAACATATTTAACCCTATTTTATAAAATAAAATATATATATATTATTTTAAGAGTTTGAGGTGAAAGTTACGTTAATCTAAACTTATGTTATTGGTATAAATTTATGATATTTGTATAAATTCAACTTCCTATGTTTCGTATTGTTTAAAAAAGTATGAATTAGTATTTGATTGGTTTATCTAATATCAAAATAAATACTTTTTATTTTGACAAAAGAAAAATGTAACTATTTGGCTGACTGAATAATTGGATGTAATTTGACATATATATTTAAACACACTTTTCTTAGTCAAATGTAAACAAATATTAAAGGGGCAATTTGTTGTTAGAACACGGATTTTCCAGATAAAAGACGAATAAAAAGATGTTCGTAACGCGATTTCTCTTTTAATTTATTTTTGTTACAGAGGTTTTAATGAGTCTAAGTTCTATATTTTTATCATGTTTGAATAATGTATGAAAGAGCGAGAGTCATTGACTATATATAA